TTGATTTGATCTTTACTGTTTATCATTTTAAAACTAACTTTGTCCTTATGTTAAATTTTTGCTGAGATGACCTGTTAACTGATGGAATGAAAATGACGTGTCCAAATATTTGACACATAAGATTGAAAAATAGGGATAAATGAATGACGTGGCTAATATTTAAACCACATAATCAAACAAATATAATTATTTAATCCATTAAATTTACAATTTTGCCTTCATCTTTTTCCTCAGCTTCCTCCTCCTCAAATCTTCTTTCATTCACTTTAAATCAAACAATCAATTTAATGAGTTCAATTAATTCATCATCATCAAACAAAATTGCCTCATTTGAGGCTTGTTGGGTTTGAAAGAACCCGGTAGAGCTGTTGGGGGTTCGAAACCCAACGAATCTGCTGGGTATGGAACCTAGCGAATCTGTTGGGTTCGATTTGTTGGGTTTGAGAATGACTCAACATCTGATTGCTAGGTAAGATCGAGTTCGATGTGGGTTTAGACAGGAGATTGGTGAAGCGGAGGGACAAAAGCTTCTGGACTATGGCTGAACCGACAGGGCCATGATGGCTGGCAACAAATACCTTAGCCGATTTGTTCCAGACATTTTCCTTTTCAATTTCTCTCTTTTGCTAGGTTAAAAAGAAGCCCAGCAGAAAGAACAAAGGAATCCACCTCAAGATCGATCAACAAATACCCAAATTCTAATAAACACACATAATCACATATTCCCAACAAACCCGCACTAGAACCAACAAATTCCTCGCAGATCCGTACCAACACCCAAAAATTACCACGAAAACAACAAGAATCAACAAACCCATGAACATTTACCACCCAATACAGAAAAAGAATAGTACTTCTTGTTCAGACAAGGGCTTGCACTACATGAGCTAATCAATTTGCTCATCCAAGTTCCTATGAGAATTCGATGGCACCAAATCCAAACTCATCTTTTTGTCTCCCTTTCTCAACCCTTTCCTTTGGTTCTTGCTAGATCAAAACCCCAAATTTCATCATTACAAAACCCTAGATTTTGAAGAAAACTTGTATAACCAAAGAAATGAAACCCTAAATTCCCAGGATTTCTAGAGAGAGAAAAATGGTAATGAAGAGCCCAATGCCTTTCTCTTCCAGTTCCAATCAATCGCTCAATCCTTTTTAACTAAAAAAAAAAAAAGGAAATCGAACCTAGCAGATCTAGAAAAGAAAGGGGTGAGGAAAATCAAGGGGAGGAAGATGAATTGATTTGACAAGGAAACTTGAAGGTGGTTTTAGGTGTTAGGGTTTATAGTAGCAAAAGAAAGGAAGATGAAAGAGAAAGAAAATAGGAAAGAGGAAAAAAAAAAGGAAAGAAATAAAAAGAATTTCTTAATGTTATTTTATTGCCATGTCATTCATTTACCCTGTTGTCAATTTTATGTGTCAAATATTTGGACACGTCATTTTCATTCCGTTAGTTAACAGGTCACCTTAGTAAAAATTTAACAAAATGACTAATTCGGGATTCAAATGATAATCAGTAAGGACCAAATAAAAAATTTTTTAAGTTGAGGGATCGAGTCAGGAGTCCATATAATAGTTGAGGAACCAAAATCAGAGTTTAACTAAAAAAATTATTTTCTCAGGGAAGGGGAGTCTCTTGCTATGATCAAGAGAGAATTAGGAAGGGAAATATGTAGTTGAAGGAGAAAAGAGTACATATTGGATAACGAGAAGAAGA